ATTTGATTTTGGTCTATATAACCTTCTTCAGGCTAATTATATTTCCTATAAAGAGTCTCTCAGTGGACCCTACCTCTTGATCCACTCTGCCTGCGATTCTCTCTTTTTTCCTATAAGTTAGTGTATTTAGGCCATCTATATTAGAAATTATATCCAACCTTCTTTGCCTTGTTTCTATTGTGCTCTTTTTCTGTCATTAGTTGTCTGTTTGTCTTTTTCATTTTGCCTCTGCTCCATTCATTGTGGCCTCTCTGCCATTGTTTCTGGAATCCTGGTATTTTTCTCTCTCTTTAGAATGTCCTGCAGTATTCTCTGTAGAGTTGGATTGGTGATTGCGAATTGCCCGAGTTCCTCTTTATCTTGGAAGCACCTTGTTTCTCCATTAATTTCTAGGGACAGTTGTGCAGGATATATCAGTCTTGGCTGGAGGTTATTGTCTTTCAACGCTTGGATTATTTCACCCCATGCTCTTCCAGATTTGATGGTTTATGCTGAGAAGTCTGCTGTAATTCTGATGGGTGGTCCCTTGTAAGTGATCTGTTTCTTGTCTCTGATAGCTTTTAATATTCTGTTCTTATATTGGATTTCTGGAATCTTGATTATTATATGCCTGGGTGTAGTTCTGTTTTGATTGTAGGTGGCTGGAGTTCTGTATGCCTCATACATCTGAGCATCTTTCCCTTTTCCTATGTTTGGGAACTTTTCCCTCATTATTTCTGTGAATAGCCTTTGTAGTTCCTTTGCACGTCTGCTTCTTCTCTCACATTCTTTATTCTTAAGTTACAGATTCTCTTGTCATCTTCTAGCCTTTGTATTGTTACTGCTTGTTTCCTTGTTATTTTAAGAAGTTTTTTCTTTCATGCTCCCACAGTACAAATCTGTCCTCCAGTTCAGATAATCTATCTTTAGTTTCTTTCAAGCTGTTATGCCAGCTTTCAATAGAGTTTTTAGTTTCTGGTAATCTCTTTGAACCTGCTTCATGTATTCTACGTTTTCTGTATTTTCTCCATCAAACATTTCTCCCCTTTTTTTCTGTTCTTCCATTCTACCATCTGTTTTTTCTTGGGAGGTGCTTAGCATTTCATTAAAATATTCTACTTATATTTTGCCTTACTTGGTTAAATACTTCACTTTAGAACTTGTCTATGAGGTCCCGGAGATACCGCTTTATGTCTATTGGTGCCATATCTGATATTGCATGTTTTCTGTCCTCATTGTCCTTTGCATTTACCTTTCCTGGATCAATGTTCTCAGGATTGTGGACCGAGGACCCTTTCTTGTTGCCTCCTCTTCTCATATTTTTTGTTCCTTCCATACAAGCCTATATAGGAGGCCCAGTTTCTTTCTTTGTCAGTTACAGTTTGTTTGAATTGCGCCAGCTAGGTATTCTTGCCCCCTGCAGTGTACTAGGGAGACACAGACTGGGGCAGCCTATGATGGGCCTGCCCCTCCAGGTCAGTCAGCCTGCTGAAAGCTTCACTGCCTTAGGGTGCACTGCCAGGCACAGGAACTTGATTTGGGCTAGCCTGTTGGGCCTCAGTCTGTGGCATCACCCAAGTAAAACGCTCCCCACCAATCCCACTTGAGAACGGAATATGTGACTGAAGTCACTGCACCGCCCTGTTTTGGCCAGTCTGCCTGGTTCCAGAATGTCCTCTGTTGAAGCCTCCTTATCTATGGAAGGGTCCCCATTCCTCTCACTCACCAAAGGTTGATGCAGGATTCCCTGCCAGCTCTACTCTTAATTCAGTTCCCTGATTCCTGCTCTCAGAGCTTTCGCATCTCTATCCCTGCTGTGCCAATTCAGATGTGGCAGCGGCAGGGTATTCAAGCCACGGGTTCCAGCGGCAGCACCAAGACTTCAGCTGTTCCAATTGTAGCACTGGGATTGCATTTCCAATTGTTTTCTCTCAGCTTAGTTCGTTCCTGAGTTGGTAGGATATATCTCCCTCTGCTTAGGACTCCCCACACCACAGCATTCCTGGAATCTAAGCTGGCTATCTCAGAGAGCCTCCGTAGCTGCTGTTATCTATCCACCATCTTCTCTGCTCCCCCTACACAACAGTTATAAAACTGCTTATCCAAATGTTCTGGGAGGAAATCACCAGTTAACTTAACTGTCTACTTTGTGTGAATTTGAAGAGACTCCTAAAAATCTTTCAGAACTATTGGGGAATTTATTTTTTCTCATTGATCTTCAAGGTGAAGAGCATCATTGATTCGAAGTCCTTAGAATTTGCTCAGCACAGTTTGCATGTTAAGTGTAGGAGCATCAATTCAGAGACTCAAGGAGGTGTGGCTGAATGTCTAGCCCAGTTGGATTTGAGTCTCTGCATCATTCTGGTTTTTAGTTTTGAAAATCAGGTTTGGTACATTTGTGCGTATACATTTAAACTCACCCCTTTGACAATTTAAGTAAGTTATTCTAAATTGGAGGCAAGTAAAGCATGACACAAAAATACATGTTAAAATATATGACTGAAATGTCAGGGTCAAAATGGGAACTCTGTAACTGTTCCTGCAATTCTGAAAATTACATTGCATATTGTAATTGTAATGTACTGAAATCATTCCACAGCATTTGTTCTTGACTGAATTTACATTGAAATGAAAAAGTATTAAGCTGGATTGATTATACAGTATATTTCTGGTACCTGACGATGCCTGTAGATCACATTGCTGCTATAAAATGTGTGGAGAGCAGTGCGTGCTGGTGCATACTCAGGAGGCTGGAGCAGGACTTCCATGCCAACTTTGAGGCCAGCCTGAAGTGTGTGGTGATATCCTGTCTCAAAAAAGCAAAACAAATGGATGAAATAAAACAATAAAACACTGGAGAAGGCTCTGGTGCTCTAGCGTGGTCTTTTCAGACCTCTGCTTTGTGTTATTTCTGCTTCTGCTTTCTGCTTCTGCTTCTTTGTCTCCACATTTGCCTGCACCTGATAATTCAAAACTGGTAAAATCAGATAATCTGTGTCCAAAATGCGTATAACATTTCTATGAAACAGAAATGAGCAGATAACTCCCAATGAAAGTGAGCAAAAGGCACATGTAAACATTTCACCAAAGAGGAAGCACAAGTTAGGCAACTCATAGGATGGAATGCTCAGCATTAGTATCAGCAGGAAAATGCGAAGCAGGGTAGGGCTGCAGTTAAATGCCATTGTCTGCCCTAAAATTAACAGTTTGGGGTTACTAAATGTTGCAGAGGATGTGGAATAGCATGGACTGACTTGCTTGTGGGATCATGAATTACCAAACACTTTGGAGGAAATAAAAATTAGTATCATCAGAAAAAATTGAATATGACAAATACTTCTTGACTCAGGCATGTACTTCCAAGAAACTGGTGTGTGTGGGTTAAGAGGCACTTTCCGGAGCTGAGTATGTTGGTGCACACATGTAGTCTAAGCACTCGGGAGGCTGTGACAGGGGGATCACTGTGAGTTCAAGGCCAACCTAAACTGCATAGCAAGACCCTGTCTCAAAAAAAAAAAAAAAAAAAAAAAAAAAAGAAACTTTGCTAGCATAAATATTTATAATGCAAAACAAAAGTACTATCTCTCGATGAGGGTGAATAATTAAAGCATGGTACATTTATACATACTGTTCTTCTGGAGCCTGCCACATGCAGCAATGTGGATAAATCTTAGAAACATAATATTGAATGAAAATGTCAAATCCTTTAAGGGGAGCCATTTGATAGAAATTGTAAACAAGCAAAGTGGCACATAGTATTTGTGCAGATATGTGATAGACTTTTAAAAAAGTGATAAAATACAGGATTGCAGAGGTGGAAGGCTGGGAGGTGACCAAAAGCATGCAGCAGAGGAAGGACAAATGAGCAGAACTGAACCTTCAACTTAGACTTCATTCTTAAGGCGGGTGACAGGCACTCATGTGTTCGTCATCATTTTGCTCCAAATTTAATCAAACATGTTGCAAATAATTGTTGTAGGTGTGTGCAGATAAATGTTGTATAAAATAATAAAGCCATACTCTGATATAACGGTGTGGAAGGCATGGTTCCATTTCTTCCTCTTCTGCTATTGTCAGTTGAATTCCTGAAATATGGTGGTTCTCCGTGTTTCAGGGGTGAGACCTTCCATTTCATTAATCTAGTCTGTGTCTGCCACCTGCTGAGTCAGTAGCAGAAACCTGTTGGTTAATAACTGAATCAGTGGTTTGAAGAAATGATTATTTGTTTTTCCTAGAAACCACTCAGTAGATTATCTTATAAAGAACACTTTTCTTTCCACCCCTAGTTGGATTCCTATAAAATAAGAACCAATCAGGATATGAGATAGACATCAAAATAAAACTATCAATGGATAGCTTTTTGAATAATTAACTGATGGGAGACTATTATAAAAATATGATTAAAGAGATCAATAGCAGAGCTCTTTAAAAGTACATTTCTTTTCCAGTGCTTCACAAATATTACCTGGAGCAATAACAATTTTGTTGTTGTTGTTGTTATTTCCCCTGTGAAAAGAAGGCAGAATGAACTGTGGTGTACAGAATTCTGGCCCGGAAGGGGCAGGGTTGGGTTTGGAATCTGTGCTCGACACCCATGTTGTCACTGAGTCCTAGCATGACCTGTCTGGTATCAGTGTCCTCAATAAAATGAAAAAGCTGAACAAGATGTCTGCAGAGCTTCAGATGACCTTTTGCTCTTCATGGGTTTTATTGTTTTCTGAGATAGGGTCTTAGTATGCAGTTCAGGGTGGCCTTGAATTCACTGTATCACCCAGGCAGGCCTGGAATTCAAGGTGATCCTTCTGCCTCTGCCTCCTGAGTGCTACGATTACAGACGTGTGCCAGCATGTTGGGCTAATTTCATTGATTTTTATCTGTCTTTAAAGTATTGTTACGTGTTCTGTTACTAAAGTAAGACAGCTGCTGGGGAGATCCAGTTGTTAGAAAATGAATGACCTATGATGCTGAGTCTTTGTACTCTGAATATTAACGGAGTTTTCTTTCTCTTCCCTTTCATACAGGAATAGTACTTACTCAAGTCTGCTTCAGGAGAAAGTGCCTGCATTCCTGTGGTATCTACGCAGGTTCATGCCATCCTGTAACACCCAATCAGGTCAGTTGGGGATGGTTTTGATGTGTGGAAGAAGAGCCTGGGCAGGACCCTCATTGTCTCAGCCTCCTCCATGGCTGAGTAGTCCCCTCCTCCTGAGCTGTGACCTGGGTCACCCAGTGTCCTGCTTCAGGACAGACAGCCGGGAGAACTAGAGAAAGTCACTTCCTTGGGTGGCCTTTAATTTCTACCCCAAAGGTATACCTTCAATTTTAATTTTGGTTTTAAATCGCTCTTACTTGATTCGGGGATGACAGTGTGCTATGTAGGTACCATCAAAGTCCCTGAATGAAGTGTTGTGAAATGTTGTTGTAGTTTTTCTTCTTCTTCTTCTTTCTCTTTCTTTTTATTCTTGAAAAAAATGGATTTGAAAAAAGAAATAAATCACTATTACTTTTATTGTAGGAACCCATAAAAGATAAACATCATGTTTCGAAAGCATCATTTTTCCGCTCTTTTCCTGGAAGGGTGTGTCAGCTCCTTATGGGCTATGGTGGAATAACCCATCATTTGTTGGAATACCCTGAGCTTTCACTGCAGTGCACATGCTAACCTAGCGAATTTCGAATTTTGTAGTCTGAGTGTGCAGCACCCTGGGCTGTTGGAGCTGCCTGTGCGTCATCGCCATAGTGGCTGAGGCCAGGGCCGGGGCTGGGGCTGGGCCAGCCAGCTGGTGCTCACCACCACTCCCAAGGTCCAGACAAAGTAGCCTATGGTGTATTGCTAGCACAGGAAAGATCGGAATTCAAAATTCAGGGTAAAGTTTCTAGTGAATGCGCTTGCTTTTCTAAAGTTAAAAAGCAACTTGCGGGCTGCCTATAGTTGTTTCTAAGTCACAGATCTGGAATTCTCTGACCTGTGGCATGGATGTTTTGAGTCTTGCTGGAGACTTGGTGGTTTGTTTAGCTGGCAAACGGCCGCATGAGGTGGATAAAACAGACGGAGGGGTCCGTGGCCACCTGTGTGCCTCCATGTTACTGTTGCACCTGGCTTTGTGATTATTGGAAAGCTTACTTTTTAGCTGAGGTTGTTAGTCCATCAGTGATGTCCTTCAGCTTTACAGAGGGTACCATATTATTTCTGTTACATTAGTTTGACTACCATATTAGTTCTGTTACATTATTTCTGTTACATTAGTTTGACCAAAAGGGAAGGTGATCAGGCTTTGGGGAGTGGCCCAGGGATGCTTTGGGATCCACAGGAGAGCTGGGTTGTATGTTGAGAACTTGAGGACCTGAATGGAGCCGATTTCTGCTCTTCTCTGTGTGGTTTGGGGATCTGTTTCATCCAGTTTCCATGCTTTGTGATGGGAAGTGTGATTGCACTCCTCCCCCTGGATTTGTGTCATGTAGTTCAGACTCCCAGAGGAGGTGAATGCTTGCATTTGACATCCCAGATTTCCCAGAACACACTCAGTTCCTCAGTGGGTCCCCTGGAACCTCTGTAGCTGGGGAGGCCTCATACTGGTGGTCCAGAAGCCTGCTGTATGGAAAGGGTTAACTTCCTCTTCCTGACAGTTCAAGTAACTAATGGTGGTGTATAGTATTCCTTCCAGGTGCATTTGCATTTTGATGGAGATAAAAATTGAGATAAAACTTTATTTTTTAAACTGTGTACAGGTGAATTTTAAGTTCCTGTGTTTTAAAAAGATTAGCAAGTGCAGGACAGGTATTAGAAATTTAGGGGCATGGTTTTAGAGTACAAGGCATGGAATAAAATAGGAATCCCTGTTAACATGGTTAAAAGGGCATTACAGAGAATGGAAAAAGCAGCAGGCAAAAGCAGTGCTTTTTATTTTGTGTTTCTTGAGGCACACTTTCACTATATGGTTCAGGCTGATCTTGAACTCACTTTATAGCCTAGGCTGGCCTTGAACTTGCTGTGATCCTCCTGCCTCAGCCTCCCAAGTGCTGGGTTACAGGCGTGTGCCACTGATTTTTTTTTTTTTTTTTTGAGACAGCTTCTCACCCTGTGGCTGGCTTTGACCGCAGTACATCACCCAGGCTGGCCTCAAACTGTTTCACAGTGATCCTCCTGCCTCAGCCTCCCAAGTGCTGATATTGCAGGTGTGCACCACCACAACTGGCTTGTTTTATTTCTTTGGAGAAAACATTTGAATGTGACATAGTACTGTTAGATTTAATCCTAGCTCAGCTACAAACTATGATTTTGAATAAATCACTTTTTCTCAGTGTACCTCAATTTATTCAAAACCTAGCATTGCCACTTATCAAGAGTGTTTTCTTCTACATTTAAAAATTTTTGAGAGCAGGTGTCCTGTGTTGACCAGGAAGGTCTTGAACTGCTAGGCTCAAGCAGTTCTCCAGTAGTGGGATTCTAGGCATGAGCTACAGCACGCAGCTAAGCAGTGCATCTTTGCCTCATTAAAGAACAATCAGCCCAGCCTTTATAATAACAAACATCTCGGTGTTCACAGGTGAAGGACCTGAGTGCAGCCTGTCGGGGTCCTCTGGCTCTGGTCCCCAGCAGAGTCGCCACAGTGTGACTGGTGCTGCAGTGTTAGCTGAGGCTGTGGGAGGAGCTGTGCGGGCCTGGGTTCCTGCGCCGACTGTGTGTGGACATCCTGGGTCCCTCGTCCCTGGAGCTGTATCCATGGGGCAGTGCCAGTGTGGCAGCAGCTGCGGTTAGGGCATCAGGCTGGTGAGAGCGGGATGGCGAGATGGAAGCAGAGCTTTTGTCTTCTGGTCAGGGAACTGGCACCTGGCTTCTTTCCATGATCTGTCCAGCAGGAGGGAGCTCTAGCCCACACCTGAGGGAGAGTACTCTCAAGAGAGAGTACCCCAGGGGCGGGTAGCTGCTGCAGTGTGTGCTGATGCCTGTAGAGACGAGCCGTTTGTTAGTTAATACTCAGGAAGCTGGGTGTGAAATTCTAAACAGGGTTTCTCATTTACAAGCACTATAGTCCCGCCAACAGAAAATGCCCAGTGAGAGCTGGAGGAGCAGCTCAGACGAGAGCCCTTACACACACACGCACACACACACACAAGCTCAGACGAGAGCCCTTACACACATACACACACACACACACACACCCAGTACCCTACTCTTACCAGATGAGAGCCCTTCACACACACACACACACACACACACACACACACACACACACACACACAAAGGAGAAATGTGGCTCTTATCTCCATTTCCTGTTTTTCTCCCTAGTAGCAAAGGAGAGTTTGTTTCCTCCTGTAGATGTTAGGTTTTAGCCTTGTATGGAATTCTTTGTGTACACCTGACTTTTCACTGCGGGTGATTATTAATGTGGTATTGCTCACAAGCTGTGCAAAGGTCTCTCCTCATTTCCCTAAAGAAATTTTACAGTGAGGCCTTAGCTTATTAATACTACTTTAGTTTTCCCAGCTTTTCTGTGGCCACTTTCTCTAACAAAGCTGTCAGGATAAATGAGGAGCCCTCTGTCATGTGTGAGGGAACCGTTGTTCTGATGGTGTTGGTTGGTACTGTCACGTACAGTGCACCAGCTCGCAGGTCTCACTGTTGACATCATGGGGAAATACTTGTTGAGCTCGATGCTGTCCCTCCCTCTACAGCAGCCTTCCGTCCTCTTTCAGCAAAAGTGTATGCTGATCTATTCTCACGCTTCTAGAAGTCAGTCTTTTCTCAGAGACGGAGAGAGATTGACTTATGAGTGGAATTGACGTTTCTGGCCATGGAGGCTGGGGTATTCTCCAGTGGCCATCTGCAGGCTGGCAAGGACTCGTCCTTCTTTGACCATTTTTTCCTGTGGGCACCTGAGTGAATGGTGCCCACTTCCAGTGAGGGCAGATCTCTGCCTTCCCCACTTAGTCCATTGAGTCATGCATCAGGCTCCTCCCAAAACACTCTCACGGGCGGGCCCACTGGGGCCAGTCCAAGCCAGCAGGGCTTCCCTTGTGACAGAAAAGGAAAGGCTCAGTGCCCGGTAAAGCACTGAGAATAATTCATGCTTTACTTGCTGTGTGAGCATTCATTAAACTGGCCAAGTTGACGCCTGCCTGAAATCACCCCAGAAAAGGGTTTTACGGTTTCTTTTGTAAGCCTCCTGTTGGAAGGTGGTACAGTTGTATAATTTGACCTGGTTGGCATTATCTGTAGGATAGTGTGTAAGTTATGTGTGTAGCATGCAGAATTATGTTTCTTCAGTAAGTTTGGTTCACAGAAGAAGACCTGTTTTCAATAACTACTAGAGTTACTGTCTATTTCTCAAGCATGTGAAAATATTAACTTTAACAGTGATGTTTAATTGTAATTATTCGTGAATTACTGTGAACAGAACATACGGGTCTATAAACAGGGAATTCTTGCCGGTTTTTGGAAGTTGTATCAGTTAGCTTTCCTGTGCTATAACTCATGCCTGAAACAAATCAACTTAAAAAGCAAAAGGAGCTGTTTTGGCTCATGGTTTCAGAGGTTTCAGTCCTTGACCCATTGGCCCTGTTGCTTGGGGGGTTGTGACAGGTGGCCCGGGGCACAGGAAGCTGTCCTCATGGCCACTGGCTGTAGAAAGACAAAGAGGAAGGCCTGGGGGCCCAGTGTCCCCTGCCAGGGCATGCCTAGTGCCCTTACTTCCGGCTGGTAGCCCCACTCAGAGCATCCAGGACCAGGCCTTGCAGCACAGTCGGGAACCAGCCACAGCACAGTGGACTGTGTGAACATGAATGTCAGTTGGTAGAGTTTCTGTGCAGGGTATCTTTGCATTTAATTGTGTAGACTGGTCGTGATTCTAAGACTTGCTTGGTACACATGATGGGCTGAGAAGTGCTCTCTTATTTTGAAACAAATGACAGTGTTTTTTCTTAGGACGGAAATCTTGCCTTGATTATAGCAAAGGGGAGTGTAGAAGCACCATCCTGTATTGACCCAGGCACGGTGGCGCACATCTGTAATCCCAGCACTCTGCAGACTAAGCTAGGAGGGCGGCTGTGAGTTAGAGGCTGCCTGGGCTACATAGTGGGTTCAAGGTCAGCCTGTACCACAAGCAGAGACTC